TATAATATATAATAAATATAAAATTATATATATCGTGTTATGCCCCGTAGCTATTCCTATCTTTATAAAATATGTGTGTGATAAAAAAAAAAAAAAAGAAAGAAAAAAAGTTAAACTGACGCTAGTTCGTCGGCGTTTTACTTGTGCAAGAGAAAAAAAAAAAAAAAAGAGAGAATATTCTATACGTATGTATCAAAGTATGTGTGTATGTATGTTCAGTGTGTGTGTGTGTGTGCATGTGTGTATGCGTTGGGTGTGTGTATAAAAATGAATAAAAATTCTCAAAGTTTCGACGTCGCGTACGTTCAAAGATTAATATAATTTGTATTCGTTATAAAATATACGAAAATTTGAACTTACGTACGAATCTTACGATTTGCAAATTACTATGGTGCTGCGTGCTTTACGATCTATTATTTTATATTCATTTATTCGCTAATCATCGGAAAAAAACTTGAATTATATGCGGCAACCATGAAGTATGAATTTTTATCCTATGTTAAAGATGACGAATCAGGTTTTTCCGTTTGAAAAAATTTGTAGCGAATAAAGATCACGTAAAAAAATAAATATACGGTTTTTGTTTCATATATTTTTCATACCTGACTGATTGAAAACTGATTCTAATTTTTTGCGTTGCTCGATTATGAAGTCAAACAATTTAGAAAATTTTAAATAAATAACAAATATTTTGCCCCAACCATTATAGAAATAATTATCTCTTTAAAGTAGTAGTTCAAACGATCTTTCATTTGTATTAAACGAAAGATAATTATTTTTTACTATATTTCATAGATGTATTAAATCATTTTTTACAAAATATAACGCCTGGGAGTAGATAACATTATATACATCGTCGATAATGTAGCTCGCTAGTGTACCGTGCCGGTAAAAGTAATTTATCTTATCGACGTCTACTTATAGATTGCAAAAAAACCGTAGAAATGCTGCCCCAGAACCTTAAGGAGTTGCATAGAAAAAAAAATCTTACCGTAGGTAACATTATCAACGATGTATGAAGTGAAATCTAATTTCAGGAGCGACTAATTAATAATACTTATTTATATAAATATAAAAAAAAGGAGTAATTATTATAAAAATTATTACATAATCAACAATACAAAAAATTGAATCTGATACAAAAATTATTAGTAACTAATTAAATAATTAATTTTTAATTGTGCAATTAGTGTGCAATTAAGAGTATTTATTCATTGTTTTTTTGCTGTTGCAGTTCTATGCCAATTATTGTGTGCTCATATTTTTATTTATACGTTCTGAAAACGTGGTTGCATCTTTAACCCTTTATTGTTAAAGTACTTGATGATTTTAACAACAGATTGCGCTAGTATCGTATTTATGTATATGTTATATATAATGCGTAAAACTTTGAGGTTAATATGTTTAGTTCTATGTTTTATTATTGTGATCATAGTAAGTGCATATAAAAATAGATTGTTGAAGCGGTATGGGTGATAAAAATGAATTATATATTTATCTAAATGTGAAAGATTACGTTAAATATATATATGTTATTTTATATATAATGTTTATGTTATAAAAGTTAAAGAAAAATAATATATATACCATCAGAAAAAAAGAGAGTTTATTTGATAATATTGATATAATTTTGTTAATTTTGAATGAATGTTGGAAAGATAAGATATTAATATTAATTTTGTTGATATATGAGCTTTGTTATACATAAAAAAATGTCCTGCCAACATAATATAATGCGTGAGAAAATATTGTTCCGCATTTTAAAAACTAGAGGCTGTGATGCATCCGCTCTATGTGATAAAATGGTTTGTTCATATCATTATTATATTTTAATTTACTATACTTTATAAATATAAGATTTATTTTATTCTTAAGACAAATAATTATATCATCTTGGTACGCACTTATTTTGAATGTTATTTCTTGTCATTATAATAAATATTTGATAATTCTTTTTACAGAAATTTAATATTAAGAATATAACGATACTGACAGAAGAAGAGTTATGTGAATTATGGTATCATGTGAAAGTTATATTATTAAAAATACAAAAGAAGTTTATATTACAATCAGATAACGCACATTCCAAAGTATGAATACCATATTATACGTCTCTATCATTTATACTATTAGATATACTAAATGGTTTCAGGGTTTATTAATAATCATTACTTGTATCATTATTTTTGAGATATAGTTGCATAGTGAAAGATATAATTATACAAATAATTAAATTTGCAATTTATTGTTAGGATAAACAAGAAGCATTAAATTTGATACGCATAATAACGGCAATGGCTTTGGAAACGTTGCTACAAAAAACATTTTTTCCAAACATATTGCTTGAAATTGTATTAATACTTCATTCGGTCATATTACCGGAAATCAATAATACAAAGGTTTGTTATATTTTTTAATTCATATACAAATAGTAATTATATAATGTATTAAAAAATGATAATGTAAAAATTCGTTCATATTCTATCACTTTTCATTAATAAATAATTCATTTTTAAGGTAAAAGATGAAATATCTCACCTTCTAGAAAGTTGGTGGAAATCTAATATGATATGGAAAGAAAAAGTAATAATAAATGTTATAAAACATTTGATTATTAAATCCAAAATTTCATCGGTAATTTATAAATAATACGATCAAATGTATAACACGTTTTGAATAATTTTCGTATAGTTTATTTGTATCTTGTTTTTAGCAACATGTCAAACGATTATATAAAATAAGATCTGCGCTAAGTTTGATAAAGCATAATAAGGATATACAAATATTAGTCGAATTGTCTAAGAATACAAACATTATTTCCATGCAGGAAGGAAAAGCTATTTTGTTAAAATTATTTACACTAGGAGAAGAATTCATAACGGTATAATATTATATTGATTTAGAATGTGTGCTACAAAATTTTGTTACAAATTTTGTGGCCCCATATAGGATCAAGCTTTTAGAAGCTCCGATACGTATTACATTTATTTTATATAATTCCTATGTTATTGTATTTTTCCAGGGAATTCATAATAATGTTAAAGCGGTACTTGAAAATGCTGAATCCGAAGTGATTAAAGAATATGCAAATTTGTATGCTGAAGCATGGTTGGGTGCAACGAATAAAAATAAGAAAGTGATAATCGATAAATGTTTAAAAAATATTATCTTTCATTGTCTAAGATCGCGTAGAGATTTTATTGGACGAGATAAACTTGGAACGAATTTACTCTTATTCTTAGAAGCTTTACATAGTTCTAAAAGTAATACGATAAAAAACATGTTGCACGATCAATACAATAGTTTATTGTGGACACATTTGAAGGTAAAAATCTTTTAAATTAATCGACTAAAATGATCATTTTTGTAAATTATTCTAACGATTGTATTTTCGGTTTTGCGTGTTAATTTAATTTCAGGCATCCGGATCTTGTGTCAGATGCAACACGGCTGAAGTTTTGTTTATTATTTTTTCGGTGCAACCAATACGTTGCAAGAATAATATAAATATCTTTCAACATTACTCGAAAGCTATTTCTTATCTTTTGAAAGATACTGATCTACAAGTGTGCCTTATAACCATTAATGTATGTAATTTTTACACATACGTCGATACGTTTAATATTAAATAGTAATTTATTTATTTATTTCATTGCAGATTACTTGTAAAATATTGGAAAATAATTGGAAACAAATACCACCAAATATTACTAAACATTGGCTAGATATTTTATCGTATCATATGTTAAACAAATCATCTTCTGAAATTAAATTGAATATCTTAAAGGGTATTAAACAAATGGTATCCAATAAACATTCTCATACGAGTTTACAAAGTTTATTAAGTAACTTTGCTAATAATATTTATTACGCGGGAACAAACGTAATCAAATGTTTTAATAAACTTCTCGTATATCTTGAAAATAATATCGGCATTTTGGTTTCGGATATTATTGATATAAATAAATTATTAAAATGTATTGAGGTAAATTAATTCATATAATAAAAACTAGTCGTCGGTCACAATTTTTATTGGAAACAATCAAACAAATATCTTATTGTTTAATTAGGATACCAATGAGCAAAAACTGTTACAACAATTAATCAAATTATTGTGTTTGTGGATAAAACTGCATAATTTAAATAACGACAATGTTGTAAAAGAAATCATCTATATCGGAGTAAAAAACATAACAGCAACAAGAAAATTTCTTTTTTATTCTAAGCATATCATTCTTTGGAATGACGCTTGTAAACTTATAAATATTATATTAATGAAAATCGAAAAACAAATAAATAGTTTGTTGAACGACAACGATGAACAACCTAACACTAAGCCTAATAAAAGATTTAAAAGGAACAATCATAAATCACGTAATGGTATAAACATTAATTTAATTATTATGCTTTACCATCAATGCGATTAACAAATCAATAATATTTATTTCTTTAGCTAAATCTATCGAAGATATAATTAACGATGAAGTTGATGCATCCGAATCGATTAAAATATTACTCGAAGTAATTTCTATAATACTGTACGCAAATAAAAAAAATTTTACAGAAGAATACTTTGACAAAGAAGAAGGGAAAGATTTGCAACGAGTACTTACGAATATTCTTCCACAAATTGTCTGTTCTTATGTTGTACAGGTACACGAATTTTATTTTGTAATTTATAATTAAAATAAAATTATGATTTTGTTTATTGTTACATATTTAAAAAAAAGAAATTGTTTTAGAAATCGACTTGCAACGAGTCCATTTTATTTCTACTTTCATTCGTTCCTGTTACGACGATGAACAATCCAAATGATATTTGTAAAACTGTTGCAAAACAATTATCAAATCCTAATATTTCTGATGATACGTTGGTCACAATTTTATATACGTTAATGAAATGGAACAAAGTCGATATGATTTTTACGTTATTAAAAGAATTTATAACAAAATGTACAAATGCAACGACAGATGAACAAGTTAGTAATATTTCAATAATTCAAACTTTATTCATTTAAATAACTAAAAATATAAATATTTCTTATATATTATATAGGAAAACAATAATGTTATAAAAGAACAAGAACAAACAATAACGTTAAGTATAAAAATACTTAAACAATTATTGAATATCGATTTCCAAGAAGAATTGTTAACTACTTATTATGAAGACTTAGTTAACATCTGGAATGATTTACGTGTTATACTACGTCACGTGGAAAGTAGATTAAAATGTTCGGATAAATTGTATAATTTAATGGACGAAAATGTTTTCATCGATCTTTTCAATGATTATTTATCGATGATATTTATTTTATCGAAAATTGACGTTTACGATATTTCTGAGTGTTTTCAAAATATATTATTATGGATCGAAGAGTATGAATTTAAATATTTATTGATTTATAATAAATTTTTTCATTTTTAAATTATATAAGAATAAAAAAAAATATATTAATTTTCTTTACAGAAAAGTGATATCGCAAATGCCTACGATGGAGAAACGTAAAACACATAAATTTCCTATAATTATATTAAAGATAGTCATTAACGTATGCAATTCGATGATAAACGAGTGTCAACTGTCTACAAAGATATGTTCAAGAATTATAATCCTTTATTTGAAAACCGTTATATCATCCGTTGGTATAATTTTTCTGGAAGATGCTTTTAAAGCGATCATAGCTTTATTAAATTTCAATAAAATTCAATACGACAATAAAGATTCTAATTTATTAAATACTATTCTACCAAAGTTCTTATCCACTGTTATGATATCTTTTAATAAATATACAGAAGATGTTATAATTTCGTATACAAATGTAAGATTATCACTTGAATTAATTTCTTCTTGCACGTTTATATATTTCATTTATTTAATTCTACACCATTTGTTTTAGAATTTTGAAATATTCGCTCTGGTAATAGAAAAATACTTTGAAACCGTCGAATCTACGTACAGTGATCCAGAAATGCATGCTATGTATTTGACTATCATATTAAATACAGCTATCGATAATATAAGTAAAGAAATCAATGATAATGCTAAAAAACATTCTATGGATATATTGAAAATTAAATTTCCATATCTTGCTGATAAGATTTTAAAGTTAACGTTGTATGTTAACAAATATCAAGATGCGTGCTTATTTTCTATTAAACAAGCTGTAATACATTACAAAGAAGTAAATATTTATTTCATATATTTCATATATTTGATAACATTTTTGTTATCATATTGTTAAAAATATTTATTTTCTGTTTACAGGCCAATATACTTGCGACGTTACTGATAATAAATGAAATGTTTCATTTGCCAATTAAATCCATGAAAAAATTACGAGACGTTACAAACGTAATTAAATTAAAATACGAAAAACAATGTGATCTTACCGTCCATAATAGGTGACGTATTTAATGTATTATCATGTTTTATGCAGCTTGAGGCACTTCATTTGATTTAAGATATTTTTTATTTATTTAAATATAAGTAGATATGAAATTTTGATAGGACAAACACAATCACATAATTACTCGTAGAATTTAAAATTTATTCGAGATAATCAAGTTTAGCTGCCTTATACTGTATATTAATATTAATAGTACCAGTCATAATGATAGATATTTTTACAGATTTATTGTCGACGCAATAAAAGCAATCATTAATACGATAGAAAGTAATTTCTAAGAAAAAAGAAAAAATCAACAAAGAAATATATATATATACATATATATAAAATAATTTGTTGTTCATCTTTTTTCAATATAGAATATTGACTACGATGAAAATATTTTTATACTTAAATATATATATATCATTAAGAATTTTCTACGAATAAAAATATTCTAATTAATATATCCTTAAAAAAAAAAACACTCATCATCATAAAATAATTATATGAAGAATAATCATCAACGGCACATACTCTGTTTTTATTTTATTTTAATATAAATAAATGTTTCTTTGGAATGTAAATACCATGTCGATCGCATCCGAAACAATAATTACCAATACGTTTTATGAATACGTATATATTTGATTTTAATGACGATAGGATATAGTGTTTTTATAAAAACGATTTAATTCATTATGCATTTCATAATATCGTTAACCAGAAGAAGTAATGTTTCTCATTTGTCTAACCGCAGCAACGACACGAGCATTACAACCAGAACTACCATTTTGATATTCTTCTGGAGGTAATCTTAATAACAATGATGTATGCTGCAAATTCTCTGACAACGAAAGACCAAGCTCCTCTAAGACGTTTTCAAGATAATCTAAAAGACATGAATTAATCCAATTAATATATTTAACTTTCTAGCTTGAACAATATAATTGTTTAATCTTACTCACCTATATCTGTAGCAAGTTGTTTACAAGCAGCAGAATTTAACTGACCAATGGCTAATGTTTGATCATGAAACATTTGACAAGTTCCTCTAGCAATGATATCCAACAGAATACCGGTAAAACCAGACTCCGTTGATCCTTGAGCATACTGTGGATCAGCTGCTTTCAATGCCAATGTTAAACTTGGATTATCTCTCAATAAAAATGGTTCCAAATGTTGAGGAAGTGTCATCAGATATTGGCCGACTTGTGTGATGTATTCTTGAGGTGCAAAACTATAATCTGGTAGATCCGTACTAAGATGCATTTTATTTATGTCTCCTGACCAAGCTGGTGCTTTTTGTACTAAGAGTAATTGAGAAAAAATTGGCGCAAAAATTACTTCGTAAGTCGCATGATGTAAATCGGAGCAAAGTTTATGAATCGGTTTTATTATCGAGTCGAGAATAGTTTTATCCTCTGTAAATAAAATACATTTCATTATAATGATAATTATATACATACATAATGTTAACATATTTTACAATTAAAATTATTATTCGTTGTATTACCTTTTTGAAACGAAGCGACAAGTTGTTCTAATTCTGTTTGTCCGGCGGGTTCGAGAAGTAATTTTTTATACTGGTTGAAAATACCTGTTGTGTGACTTATTAATTTATTATTAGATTCGATTATATCGATAACTAAAGATTTTTCAAATTGATGCACTTGTCCTAGAAATTCTCCTACAGAAAAAGAAAATGTAGAAACCTTTCGAAAGTATTTGTATTGAAAATTTTATATTTTAATAATTATTTGAACAAATATTACCTATACTTTGCATTAAGGTAAGACACATTTGGAATAAGTTCCAATCTTCCTGTTTAACTTTTTTCCTCTCCAATTGTCGTATCGTTGTTTGATATTTAATAATATATTTATCAAAATATATCTGTAAAATAATAATTGAATTATATTTGTATCGTATTCTTATTATATTATAAGGGGAAAAATAAACGAACGTTTAAGGCTTTAAGTAAACCTGGATAACCACAGCCATCTGTGAACAGTTTACATCGTTTATTAGCTTCGTGAGCATAAGTAATAATTCTGGAAATACTAAATGACAAAGAATTGATGGTATCGCTAAGATCATCGTGTAATAAATCCATTGATTGAAGCTGTTGTTCCAATTGTGCAACTTCGTAAGTTTTATACTTCATGACGTATGGAACATAAGGCGCATATATTGCTTGTGCCAAAGATGTTACATGTTGAACAAATGTTTTTGTATTAGCTGTTGTTTCGTTGCCAGAAATATTACGATTGATTGATTTCATTGAAGACAACATTTCTATAGCTCCGCTTATGTTTACCGCAAAATGTCTGGTAAGTTGTTTAAGTTCCAACAGTAACGATAATTGCATAGCATTGGAATATTGTTTCAATAATGATTCTATGCATTCTAATATACTCGGATCCAAACTTCTTAATAAATCAGCATACACGTTAATAAGAATTTCAATAGATGTGTTGGGAAACACTTGTTGACACCATTTTACCTATAAAATTATATGACATTTATTTAAATATTAACTGCAATTAATGATAAATAATTTATACTTACTTGTTCGTGCCAAGTAGTTAAAAGTTTATCATAATAGGTGTGCAACCAGTACGTTAAATTTTCATCCTGTGCCAACTCGATGGTTTGTCTCCATTCCTGTCCCAACGACATTTTCAAACAATTGTGATAATATTTAAGAAGTTGAGGCAACCTTTCCATTTTATTAAAAATATCTACGTAAACTTTCGACTGATCTATAAATTCAAGTAAGATTATTTTCTAAAATATTATTATTAACAAAGTTTAATTCTATAGAATATATTAAAAAATATACGTACCTAAATTTCCTGTGTTAAAAGCTTGCACAAGTTTAGGACTAGCCATGGCTTCTAATCTATTTTTTAAACCTTCTAATTGAAGCTTTTTATCTTCAAAATCTACAACATTGATAAGCATGGCTAATGACTTTTGCATACTGAATAATTTGCTAGCAATGACCTCGATATCTCCCGATTCAAATACCTATAATCATAAAAGTATTTTGAATAAATTAGTATGATTATACCAAGTACATTTAAATATTAAATCAATATTCATACTTCTTCTACATCGTTTGCTAAAGCACTCCAATTATCTGCTTCGTGTAGCCCACGTTTTGCTGTTTCCAATTGAGTTTTTATTCTATCCAATCTTTCTAAAGATTCTATAGAAGATACTGTACATTCTTCTACCTATTAGATCAATTTTATAAAATTATGAAGTATGATGTTAACAGTAAGAAAGAATAATATATTAAGAACCTTAGCAATTTCTTGTTTAACAGAAGCCATTTTTTCTTTTAACGCTAAAGCTTCTTGTTGCAATAGTTGACTGTCTCGGAGAACCCTAGGTAAACTAGACAAGACCGATTGACTAGTTTCTTCCAATGCGCTGTTAACTTGTTGTACGTACAGTTGTAGTTTCATTACCAAAGAAGATACGAACGCCTAACAAAAATATAAAAATACGATTAAGATAAAGAATGTGATTTAAAGATGAGAACATAGAAGTGAATTAATTTATCGTTGACTTTTCAATTATAAATAATTTTTTCAAAAATGTTATCGAAACCAAATATTTGTAAAATTTAAAGGTAAATTTACAATGAAATAAAACAAGATTAGAATTATTAATGCGACAAAAATGTACATCTTTGTTCTCTTGAGCTTCGTTGGATTTGAACGTCTTGTTGATCCATTCTTTGGCATCAAATGTGTCCTCAGAGAATGCGGAGACATCCTGTCGACATTAAATGTCAAGTCGTTAGAATTGTCAAATTTAAGTTCAGACATTACACGCTTATATACTCAATCATCTGTTTATTATATCATAATGAAATATATTATAATACCTGATATATAATATATATATAAACAAAAGTCTGAGGTTAGAATTAATATTAAAAAGGAAATATTTTGTATGTAAGTGTAAGATAGAAAGAGAGGGGGAAATGTGGAACAGAAATGGGAATGAGAGAGACAGGAAGACAAAGTTTTTAAATAGTTACCGCGTATAGTTAATTATTGTTTCTGGTGTTTCGTTCGAAAGAAAAAGAGAAAGAGAAAGAGAGATAAATAGAAGAAAAGAAAAAACTATTCGAATTTACCAGCTGAGCTTACCATCATAACGCATAAGAACTTCCGGAGGTATATTCTGGACACACAAGTAAAACGGATTGCTATTCGGAATTGTTCGATTTAAATAACCTTAAAAAGTGTGTGTTTACTTAAAATACGAAAATAACAAAAGAGAGAGAGAGAAAGAAAGAAAGAAAGAAAGAAAGAAAGAAAGAAATATAGAAACTTCAACGAGAGAGAGAGAGAGAGATAGAAATAGAAAAAAGAGATTAGCAAGGTTAGAATTTATTTTGTTCCTTTTTTTAACACTTTCCTAACCCCTCCCCTCCCATTCATTTCTCATATATACATATGTTGTAATATTTTAGATTTTTTTTACAAATTATTTATTACTACTCTTATTATTATTATTATTACTATTATTATTATTATTATTATCGTAGAAATTTTTAAATGGAATTTTATTATTTAACGTAACGACGTGTGTGTTGGGTATTTAAATTATTTAAATAATTTTGGTTATTTTTGAAATGAATGGGTTCCCATCGTTGTGTTGTTAAATGTACTACGTGCGTCAACGTTGTTGTTGTCGTCGTCGTCGTCGTGGTGTGTCGTTGTTCGTTGTTGCAACGTCAACGATGACGATGACGACGACGTAACGTGTGCATTCGTAAGAATAAAAAAATACATACATATATATATATATATATAATATATATATATATGTATATATAATAATCGTTCGTGTTCATGGATGCCGTATGCATTTCTTGCCTTTTCATACGATATCGTAATTGGAGAAAAGCTCGTGAAAAGCAGGTAAAGTGATATAACAACATTTTAATGATAATAAATGAATCTTTGTCATTTGTCATTCTCGTCATTTTGTTTGTCCATCGTGTCACATTGTCTCACATTGTACAATAATAATTTCAATAATTATTCATTGTACTGTAATTATTCGTCTATCATTTATTTCATTATAAGTATTAATTTTTGACGAGAATCAAATGAAATAGAATTATTTATTGTTTCTTTTCTTTTTTAGAGGTTAGAATCGTATTTAATTTATAAGAAAGGGTGATGGGAGGGAGGGAGGGAGGGAGGGAGAAAGTTGTGGAAAACAAAATCAATTAATAATCGAAGTTAATTATTTTTTTCTTTTATCTTTCATATCATACCGCCCAAATATTCGAATATTTAAATTAGGATAGTTACACGAAAGGGTGAAATTCAATCAAAACTAATTAAATGGATCATCCTGAAAATGTTTCATCGAAATGTTAGATTAATTATTTGGCTTTCATTTTATCATTTCTCATTTTA